AATTAATGAAATTATGGATACAAGTACCTATGATGATACACAATTTGAATTTGATATATCCGATGAGGAAATAAAAGATAAAATTAATGAATGTACTTTGTTGAACCAAAATGAGAAAGAAAGATTCTACAAACTTATATCGCGTTATAAAAATGTATTTTCGAAAAAACCGGGTAGAATTTCTGTATATGAACATAAATTAGAAGTTGATGATACGAAACCATTTTATAAAAAAACCTATCCGATTCCAATGAAACTCAGAGAAAGAGCTATTGAAGAGCTTCAAAAATAAATAAAGTTAAAAATAATTAAAAGAATGAATACATCTTATGTAAGTCCGATTTGTGTTACAATTAAAAAAAATGGCACTATAAAATTTTGTTTGGATGCGAGAAAAGTGAATGAAGTATTGACTGATTGTTATGAACGCGCAGAAACAACAGAATTGTTATTTCAACGTTGTACGGGTGTGAAAATAATGTCTTCGTTAGATTTAGTCAGTAGTTTTTGGCAAATCCCATTAGAAGAGGATTCAAAAAAATATACGGGATTTATTTTCGAAGGTAAATGTTATGTTTTCAACGTCGTACCATTTGGTTTAAAAACTAGTACAAGTGCGTTAGTAAGAGCATTAGATCAGGTATTGTGCGGTATAGGCGATTTTGTGATCACTTTCATAGACGACATGCTGTGTACATCACAAAGTATCGATGAACATCTATATCACCTTGAAAAAATATTTCATCGATTAGAGCAGCACAATATGACCATCAATTTTCAAAAATCTCATTTTTTTCGTCCAGAAGTAAAATTTTTAGGACATATTTTATCGGCAAACGGGATAAAACCAGATCCAGATAAAATAAAATCAATTCATGATTTTCCGCGACCGAGAAATTTAAAAGAATTGAGAGGTTTTTTAGGTTTAATTAATTTTTATACTAAATTTGCTAAAAATCATGCAGAAGAAATTTTTCCTTTACTCCAATTATTAAAAACCGGAAATAAATGGGAATGGAATTCTTCTAAAGAGGAAGCATTTAATCGTGTGAAAATATTATTCTGTGAATATACTATTCTAAGTTACCCTGACCTATCTAAACCATTTTATTAACAAAAAGATGCGAGTGACGTAGCGATAGGATCCGTGCTATATCAGTTAGACGAGGACGGACAACACTTACCTATAGCTTTCGCGAGCCGTACGTTGAAAGGAGCCGAGCTGACGTATTTTACGACGGAGAAAGAACTACTTGCGATTGTATGGAGTTTACCAAAATTTCGATCGTATATTTTGGGTACCCGCGTAATTATCAGAACGGATCATAAGGCGTTATCTTTTGTAAAAACGTGTAAACTACTTAGCGGTAGAATTACGAGATGGGTTTTAGCAATTCAGGATTTTGACTTTGATATTGAGTATATTGAAGGAAAAAATAATACTGTAGCTGATGCATTAAGTAGAGCACCAGTTTATGAAAAATCGGGAATGGATATAGAATCACACGAAGGTAAATTATTTTTGTATAATTTAGCAAAGAAACCATCTTCTCAATTGCGAAATAAATTAAAAAATATTAAATATGAACAAGAATCAGAATCAATTTCGAAACAGAAAATTGCAGATGTTAAATCGGGTAAAACAAAACGATTTTTGATAGATAAAAATTTATTATATTTTATTGCGGGAGATAATAAAAAATTATGGTTAACTAAAAGCTTAATTAACGACTTAATAGACGAGACTCACGAAATGTATGGACATGTAGGACCACAACGAGTTTTTCGTATGTTAAATGAGTATTTTTATTATCCGCATTTTTCTAAGGTTATTAGGCATAGAATAGCGAGTTGTGATTCATGTCAGAAAAATAAAGTTTCTAATCAGACTAGCTATTCTGAAATGAGAAATTATGCACCTACAAAACCGGGAGAGATTGTATCTATCGCAAAGATTTTTACGGTCCTTTACCTGCTTCTAAAGCGGGATTTAAATACATCTCATCAACTATAGATGCATTTAGTAAATTTGTAAAATTATACCCTATTAGGAAAATAACTACAAAGGTGCTAATTAATAAAAATTTTAATCATCATATTAAAGAATTCGGAAAACCAGAAAAAATTATTTCGGACCACGGTACGCAGTTTACTTCAGGGATGTGGACTGATAAGTTAAAAGAAGAAGGGATACAACCGGTGTTTTCGTCAATTAGACATCCTCAAGGAAATATTGTCGAAAGAATTCACAGGGAGTTATCAAGATTTTTCAGAACTTTAACTAATGGTAGACACAATTCATGGTGGAATTGGGTGAAAATCATCGAAGATTGCATCAATGAAACACATCATGAAACTACGGAGTTTACACCAGTCGAGTTATATCTTAAGGGGATCCCACTTATCGACATTGCAGATCTAAAATGATTAAAAATCTGCAACGACCTTTTCTTGGAAAATATTAGATATTATTACCTATAAATTTGGAAAACTTATTTTTTATCATGAATACGCAGGATGAGTATTTTATTTGTTGTAATTATTTGAAAAAAATTATCGTTAGAAAGTTAAATATGGGCAGTTTCCCTGTAACACATCTTTGACTACTAGCTCAAACTGCAACGACCATTTCTCGAAAACAACGAAACAAAATAATTTTTCTATTTGGGAAATTTAATTTTGTAGGAAAATACGGAGGATGAGACTCATTTGCCATTCAGGAATAAATAAAAACTTTATTTTTTGTAAAGTGTCTATGTGACAGCTGTTCGGTGGCACTTGATATTTAATTTACTAGCATTAACTTTTCTTTAACAATTTGAACAAAATAAATCTCTCTCATTGTGTGTCTTTCATCACTAATGAATTTTTACTCAAAAAGAAAACATTATATTTTATTGTTGTTAATTTAAAGCTAAAAATAATCAAAATTTGTCAGTTTTGGAACCTTTGGCGCCATCTCTTGGTTCTATGAACTACTAAAAGCTGTCACATGTGTTCTTCTTGTTGTAAATTGCTATACAAAACAGTTTACATAAATTAAAGTTTTTTATTGTTGTTTTCATATGTAATGAATCTTATTATGTGTATTTTTTTTTAAAATTAAGTTTACTAAATGGAAAAATTATTTTGTTTTGTTGTTTTCAAGAAAAGGTCGTTGCAGTTTGAGCTCTTGGAAACTGACCATATTTAATTTTCTAACAATATATTCTTTTTTAATAATTACAACAAATAAAATACTCATCCTATGTATTTATAATAAAAAATGACTTTCACAAATTTATAGGTCATAATTCCTTATATTTTTCAAGAAACGGTCGTTGCAGATTTTTAACCATTTTTGATCTGCATTATCGGTATGTGGGATCCCCTAAAAAAGAAACCAAAACGTGTGTGGGAGAAATGGTTAAATCTACCTCCTATTCCGAAGGATTTAGATTACGAAAGAAAATTAGAATTAGCGTATGATAATATCTGTAAAAAAGGAAAGAAACGAGCTGATAAGTTTAATATTTCGCATAAATTATCTGAATTCAAAGTTGGAGATCAGGTCCTAATTAAATTACTAAATAAATCTGATAAGGAGAATAAAATTATTGCGAAATTTCTTCAAGTTTATGAAGGACCTTATGAAATTAAAAAAGTCGTAAAAAAAGGTACTTATATTTTATGGGATCCGAAATCGAAAATCGAGAAAGGAATGTATCATAGTCAGGACTTGAAGAAATATATATCAAGAAGCAATAATAGTGAAAACTAAATTAACAAAACATGTGACAATTTGTAAATAAAAATAAAGTGAATTAATAAACAATAAAAAATAATAAAGTAAATAAATAATAAATAAAGTGCAAAGTGATAAACAATATTAAATTAATATTAACCACTTCACTGGCAGGGCGTTCCAAATGGCGTTCCACGCGCCGAGGCCCAGACTGGCAAAAACACCGAAATGGCGTTCCTAAAAAAACTCTTTTTTTAAAGAGTGTACACCACATTTAACTATTGTAAAGCAATATTTCTATAGTTTAGACATCAGAGAACAAGATTATCACAATAAAAATTTTAGTTTTTGTGATTTTCAACGCTTTTCCGAACGTTCAAATCGGCTGTTTTTAATAATTTTCAACAAATGGCGTTCCACTTTTTTCAATTTTTACGCAATATAACTCGTATTTTTATTAAAAAAAGATATTTATATACAATATTATAATATAATAATATAATAATATAATAAAAATAATAACTATAACTATTATTTATCATTATAAATAGTAATATTATACGTATATGTATATACATGTATATATATATGTCTATAAAATTAAAATTTTTGCTATAATAATAATAATAATAATAATAATAATAATAATAATAATAATAATAATAATAATAATAATAATAATAATAATAATAATAATAATAATAATAATAATAATAATAATAATAATAATAATAATAATAATAATAATAATAATAATAATTATTATTATTATTATTATTATTATTATTATTATTTTTTTTTTTTTTTTAAATCCATTTATATAATGGAAATAATTTAAAAAATTTTATATAAAATATTCAAATTTCTTTCAAGAAAATATATTATAAAATATAGTATTTTTTTCTAAAAGATATAAATTTTTGATTTTTCAGTAATCAATGCATTTGCTAGAGAGTTAAATCTCCACCGAGAGCACGCCACGTGGAGGCTGCAATGATAAGTTTTTGTGCTCCATTTTTTTTTTAAATTTTTTTTTAATTTTTTTTTTTTAATATTTTTTAATTTTTTTTTTTTGTTTTTAACTATTTTTTATTTTTTTTTTGTTTTTAACTATTTTGAAATTTTTTTTTTGTTTTTAACTATTTTTTAATGTTTTTTTGTTTTATTTAATTTTTTTTAAAATAACTTTTTGGGTTTTATTTGTTTAATTATTAATTTAATAAATTTTTTGAATTTTTCGAAGTATAATTTTCTGAAAATATTATCAGTATCATTCTTACTCTGAATGTTTTTCCATTTCATCAAAACATGATTTACAAAGAGGCATTTCACATACGTTACAAATCCATGTAGTGTCAGTTCTAATTTTTTTTTCTGAGCACTTTTCACATCTTAATCTCTTTCGTTTGATTTTACCATTTGAAGGAATTTTTGTTAGTTTGTGAGTCTGTGAGGTTTTTTTGTTTCTCGGTTTCTTAGCTGTTTTTCTTTGGACTCCATATTCTTGCAATATCTCTCGAGCAAGTTGCAGCCTAAACTCACAATGACTTTTTTTTTCGTCGTTATGCAAAATATTATAAACAATATTGGCATTAAATATTGCCATGTCCAATAAATTTAATGCGACTTTTTGATACCAGCGGTAAGTTTTTCTTTGGACCTCATAGGGCTTTATTATTTGGTCGCATTTATCGACACCCCCCATATTGCTATTATAAATTGCGACTACTTTTGGTTTTTTGATTGCTTGACCTGTTTTGTGGTCGGTTCTACCAGTTTCGATGAATTCTGAACCAGGAAGCGTACTTAACATGGTGACAACTTTCTTGTCTTTCCAAATAACTACTAAAAGGTTATTTGAATGAAATGTCACCACTGTATTTCGAGCTAGTTTGTTTAACTTCATTCCCTTCGTAATTGGCATTTTTTTTCGGTTGGTTCTAACGGTACCAATAACGTTATTTTTTTGCTCATACAATTTGGCAAATAACGTAGGAGAACTGTACCAATTGTCGATGAATAGAATCCTTCCCTGGCCATTCAAATCATCTAGCAATTTCATTACTACTTTCCCAGAGATTCCTATCATTTTACTCTCATCTTCAGGATCTTTACCAATGTAAACTGATGCATTATATATATATCCATTAACAGAATCACAACATTTATATATTTTAATGCCGAAACGTGATCTTTTGCTCAAATTACATTGCTTGAATGATAAACGCCCTTTAAATTTTAATAATGATTCGTCAATGCTAATTTTTTCCCCTGGCCTATAAGCTATTTTAAATTTTTCTATCATCATTTCAAATAAAGGTCTTATTTTTCGTAACTTGTCAATCGATTCGTCTTCAGAATAATGTAAATATCTACTTATTGCTTGAAATCTTTTTAAAGACATATATTGTCCAAACACAGGGGTAAACAACAAGGGGTCATTTGACCAGTACATTTCATAAGAAGGTTTTTTTATTAATCCCATTAAAATTACTAACCCATAATACGTGTACAATTCGGAAACAGAAATATTTTTCCAAGATAGAATTCTGGAATTGCCCTTTAAAATGTTTGATTCATTTAGTAAATCAAGTTTGGAACTATGGTAAATATTTGTCATGGCGCAAATCATTTCCATGACATCAAGCGAATAAAAGTATTTAAAAATATCAATGGGTTTGCACTCTGAATTAAAATTGCAGTCACTATTAATTCCTACTTTAGGATCATTAAATTCGTGAATGGTGGGATTAAAGTTATCATCTTTTACCCATGAAAAATTATTGCGAAATTTTTTCCATCGATCCTTTAAAGGCATATCGGATTCATCGCAAGATGAATCGCTATCATCACTACTGCTATAGTATAGAGTGAAATCTTCATCGCTATCACTATCATCAGAGTCAGAAAAATGTAAATCATCCATTTTATTACTTTGCAAACGATTTAGATGCTCTAAACAAAAAAAAATTCTGTAAAAGAAATGCCGTCAGTCGTAAACACGTGCTGTCCATAGAGGAGTGTAGAGAAAATAGGTTAAGTTTTCATCCCCACCACTCAATCGTAAATGAACACTCCACAGTCCTATTTGAGCTGCGCAAACTTTATTGAAACAGTGAAAACCAACTTTTGACTGACTTTACAAATTATAATAAACATAAAAATTATTGTAATCTAAATTTTTAAGATTCTATTTCTATTACTTAATTAGAATATTATTTCATTTACTTTTTTTATTATCTCATTTTCAATAAGCTAATAATAACAACAACAATAATAATAATAATAATAATAATAATAATAATAATAATTATTATTATTATATTAATATATAATATATATATATTATTATTTATATTATATAAATTATATTATATTTATATTATATATATTATTATATATTATTATATTATTAATAATAATAATAATAATAATAATAATAATAATAATAATAATAATTATTATTATTATTATTATTATTATTATTATTATTATTATTATTATTATTATTATAGCAAAAATTTTAATTTTATAGATATATATATACATGTATATACATATACGTATAATATTACTATTTATAATGATAAATAATAGTTATAGTTATTATTTTTATTATATTATTATATTATTATATTATAATATTGTATAAAAATATCTTTTTTTAATAAAAATACGAGTTATATTGCGTAAAAATTGAAAAAAAGTGGAACGCCATTTGTTGAAAATTATTAAAAACAGCCGATTTGAACGTTCGGAAAAGCGTTGAAAATCACAAAAACTAAAATTTTTATTGTGATAATCTTGTTCTCTGATGTCTAAACTATAGAAATATTGCTTTACAATAGTTAAATGTGGTGTACACTCTTTAAAAAAAGAGTTTTTTTAGGAACGCCATTTCGGTGTTTTTGCCAGTCTGGGCCTCGGCGCGTGGAACGCCATTTGGAACGCCCTGCCAGTGAAGTGGTTAAAATTATTTAAAACAAAAATAATTTTGAACTATAATATTAATTTAATTATATCATAGTGTGTGTAAATAAAAGTGATAGAGATAAGTAGTTGATATTTTGATCTCATCAATATCAACTAATACTAATAAAAGAAGTAGAAGACAACATAAATGAAAGTGATAGAGACACTAAGTGTTAGTTAGCGTAGTTTTTAAAATAGAATATAACATATTCAACATGCATAAAAAAATAAATTTAAAAAAAAATAATAATAAGAAAAAATAATTATAATAATAGTTGTAAATATAGTTTAAAAAAAATAAATCAAAATGAGATAGAATATATAAGAAAAGAAAAAAATTATCATGCAAGAAGAAAAAATAATTAAAATAAACAAATAAGAATGTAAATTAACATGCAAAATGAAAATATAAGCATGCAAATATGTATATATAAATAAGAAAATTCTTATAAATATTGTAAATAAGAAATTAATATTGTATAAGGTATGAATGAACAAAATTTTGAATTTTTCAACTATCTTTCGATTTGTCTGTTTCAAGGGTATTTTCATATATGACATTGACAAATACTGAATTTGAAAATATTTAATTTTCAAAACTTTTAGTAATATTGAGGGTAAAATGTCAAAACTTTGAAAGAAAAATTAGTATAATTCTATTCATCGAATTGGTGATACATAGTTGAGTGTTGTGCGTAAATTTTGGGATTATTTAAAAAAAAGGTATTTAAATTTAATTCTTTAGAAAGTAAATATAAGATTTTTTTTATTTTTTTCATTAATTTTCTAAAATTTAAGAAGAAAGATTATATTTTTCTAAAAAATTTTAAAAAGTATAAAAATTATATGATGAGGTAAAAAATTAAGTAAAATATAAAGAAATTTTCTTTCTTCTATTTTAGAGAATGAAAGTCAAAATGACGGATAGAGGCACAATGCCAATGAAACATCGTTTATGCGATGCATTTATAACTGTGAGGCCACCATCAATTTCTGATTCTATTATTAATATAGAAAGAGATGTTGAGGAGGTAAATGAAAAAAAGAATATAAGTACGCAGACACCGAAAAGTTTCAACAAAGACAAAATTAACAAGAAAAACTCAAAAGCAAGAAGGAGAGTTGAGAAGAAAAAGAAGCCGAGAATAATTAAAATTGAGAATGTGCAAATTAAGATAAATATAATTAATAATAATGATCATATGATCCAAGCATTATTTAAGAAGTTAGAAGATAACGTTAAAGAAGCTGATAAATAAATCATATGTTAAACTGACATAATTTTGTTTTGTTTATATATTTTTTTTTCAAATATGATTTTATTCTTGTGTTTGTTTATAGTGAAGAGGTTTTTTTTCCCTATTTTTGTCGAATGAATATGTTCAAAATGATTTTAAATTAAAAAGAATAAGGGGGAAAGATAATAATAATGCAGTAGATTAATCTGTAAATGTCATTTAATAGTTTTATATAAGGGTTAGTATTTAGTTAAAATTTTTTTTATTTAAGATACCGTACCAACCTATTATAATACAATCGGATGATATTGTAAAAGGAAATGAACAATATCCGTCGACAATACTGGAAATGGGTAAATACAAAGTAAATATTATAAGTGCGTTTAGTCCTTCTTTAATTAAGGTACAAATTTACAAAAACCAAAGTCAACACAATAAAGTAATGGAAGAAATAGGTAGATGTTATTCGGTTAATGAAGAAAAATATAAGATTGACTGGAATAATGAAAGTGTGGAATTTACGTGTTTGCCGGTAATAATCAAAATAGATCAAAACCAATATAAAAGAGGATACATAGTATTATTAAACACTGGATTGCAAGATATTGTTATGATTTATGATGTCGATGATCATTGTCACCGAAAGGTACACAAACAGGATATTTTTCACATCATATATAAATACTTAACTGTTGTAAAAAACGCGGTAAATATAGCTTTAACAGACATATCACCAGTGGAAAATAATACATGGTCAAAAATAACGGTAGAAAGATTCGCGAACTTTATGAAAAATCGCACTTTTATATTTTATGTAAAAGAAATAATGAATGATCATCATTTTGGTTGGGGAGTATTGAATAGATTATGGTCAGTCGATGACTGGTTAATTGAAAAAAATCTCGCAAAATTAAAACCAGAATCTTTTGAAAGTTACCTTAATTTCGATGAAATAGTTGAAGAATCAGATGAAGTTGATGTAAATGATGTAAATCGTGATAAAGACAATATATGGTTTAATAATGATAATTTATAATCATGCAGATTAATGATATAAATTTTTATTTTGTTAATAAGTTTGTAAACAAATAAATTTACTTTATTGTCAGAAAGAAATTTTTTGGTTTAGTGGGGCATTGGGTTCCTGCCCTTATCAAAATTTTCTCTGTTAATGAATCAAAATTGTTTTTTTTCTCTTTGATGTTTTCAAATTTTGCCTATTGAAATTTAATTTTGTTCTTTATTTTAAGCAAATCACCTTTTATTCTAAAAAGAATGATTGGTTTTGTGGGGCATTAAAACGGTATTTCAATAGTCAAAATTAAAAATTTAATAATTATAAATAAATTAATATAATTAAATTTTGTAGATAAAAAAAAATATAATTATGTTAAATTTAAAAGTATAGGAAATTTAAAATAAGGTTAATTGAGAACAAATGTACTGAGATAAACACCTAAGTATGAAAAAGGCTCAGCTGACTCAAGGCCAAGGTCAGGAAAGAGAAAAGAAAATTTGATATTTTAAATTTATAAAATTAATTAGAAATTGGAATAAATATTAAAAAAATAAATTATTAAAAATTAACACAATGTTAATTTTCTATTCAAAATGTATATTTTGTTTTTTATAAATAGTATTAATTTTATTATTTAATTGTTTAATTATAATTTGTTAAAATAAATAAAGTAATGGTAAAATTTATATCAATAAATAGATAAAAATTAATGGATATTGTTAATAAAATATAAAATGATGAAAATATTATTATTTAAAGAATTATTTAAGTTTAAAGAAATAAAATAAATTTATAGAGAAAAGTAATTGACAGCTGTACAATGGTATTGTTCTCGGGAAAACGTTAGACACGTTGACGACCAGAAAGAGAGAAAATATATCTCTATCCTCATTTGAAAATTTGAATATTATTGGCGAAAAGAAATAGACGCTTTCTGAAAAGTGAAAAGTGGGATAGAATTAGCGGTAAGAAATGCATGGCAAAATTGAGCGTCCCTAAAGGGTAGGGGAAAGTTTTAAATTTCAGTCAATAAAAAGAAAGAGTTTTACGTAAACTAATATAGTTTTTGAATTTTATACAAGAATTGTAAATCTGGGGGTTGATCACGACTATATAAACCCTGAAAATAGAAGCGTCGCTCTCTCATTTTGAAAGCAATTAACAAAAGTAATACACTTAAATTACACAGGCACACAAAAAAAAAGTGTCGTGGCCGAGACACTACAGTAGTATATTCCCATGTATTTTTGGCCGCTGAATCCGAATCTGAAGTCCGAATGCTCAAATTGGTTCTTTTTTTTGAGTTATACTCAAAAAACGACTCAAAACACGAATTTGAACCAAAAAAATTAAAAAAATTTTTTGTGACATGACAATAGCATATTTCCATGTATTTTTTCCCGCTGAATCCGGATTCGAAGTCAGAATTGACAGATGTGCTCAAAATTATGAGCTACACTCAAAAAACGACTCAAAAAACCGAATTAAAATGACGAAAATGAAAAATTTTTTCTGTGACATTGAAAAAGTATATTTCTATGTATTTTTGCATGCTGAATCCGAATTCGAAGTCAAAATTGACAGATTTGCTCAAAATTTTGAGATAAACTCAAAAAACCACTCAAAAAAAGACTCAAAAAACCGAATTAAGATAAAAAAAAAATTTTATGACACTACACTACTATATTCCCATGTACT